GGGGCTTGGCTGGTGGGTCTAGCTCACAAACTCAGGGTCTAACCGAGCACTGTATGTGGGGTGGGGCAGGAATTCTCCCCAGATCAGGTTGGTGGTGAGCTTGGGGGTTTCGCCTTCCCCTGCAGCTTGGGGGGCCAGGATTATCAACATTCCCCTGCCATTGCAAGGGCCCTGGCGCCCCTCGGCCTGTGGCACGGCATAGTCCAGTGTCCTGAGGGCTGTGACCCGTTGGGTTCAGAGTGCAGGTGCTGGGTGGGGCTGGTGCCCTGGCCTACACAGGTCAGACTCGATGAGCTGGGGGTCCCTGCTGCCTTCAACCCTGTGACTCTGATCCCCCTCACACCGACACAACATCTCACGCTCACCCCGATCCCCCTCACACGGACACACCGTCTCACGCTCACCCCAATCCCCCTCACACGGACACAATGTATCACGCTCACCCCAATCCCCCTCACACGGACACAATGTCTCACGCTCACCCCGATCCCCCTCACACGGACACCACGTCTCACGCTCAGCCCGATCCTCCTCACACGGACACACCGTCTCACGCTCACCCCGATCCCCCTCCCACGGACACAAGGTATCACGCTCACCCCGACCCCCCTCACCCTTGATCCCTCATGGACACACAGACACACACACATTCACAGTGTGGTGTGATGTGCTGCCGTTTGGAGGCGGGGGTTGAAGTTTAGGCCCTGTGTCACACTGCTGCCTGCCAGAAAGACTCTGCGTCCTGCTCCATGCGTATGGCTGTGTCTGCAGCCTGCCTGGGTGTGAGGGACAGTCCTACCCCTACCCCTGGCGGCCCTGGGTTCTAGCCTTGCCTCGGGCTGCGCAGTGTAGGCAGCCGGGGTATTGTTCCAGTGGGAGCGCTGCAGGGGGAAAGCACCAACTCTCTGTTGATGGACCTCCAGAGAAGGTGGCTGTAACTGGGAGTTGGGAGGGGGGAGCCTGAGCGTCTCAGGCCAGTGAACCTGGGTGCAAGGGGTGATGTTCCCAGACGTTTTATAGCAGGGAAGACGCAAACAGGTGGAGTAAGAGCTAACTCTTCTCCATGACTAAGCTGGTGACCAGGCCGCAGGAACCAGGCTGAGCCCTTGGTTGGCCCACACCAGTTGCACTAACCCATTGTGCACAAAAGCATGTCTGGCCCTGGAGTCAGGCCGGGTCCCCAGACCAGCGCGCTCGGAGCTGCATGTGCTCCTGGCAGGAGCTGTGACTTCGCCTTCCCTGCTCTCGCCCACATGGCAGGATGTTGACAATGCTGCATTAGTGCGCCTGGACCTGGAGCGGAAAGTCGAGTCCCTGCAGGAGGAGATCAACTTTCTGAGGAAAGTCCATGAGGAGGTATCGTGTGTGTGACCCACCCTCCGAGCCCCTAGGGTGCCTGGGTGGGGATGGTCTGTCCTTGCCTTGCCATGCACTGCAGCCTGGGCCCAGCTATCCAGAGAGGCAGGGACCTTACAGTGGGACTGGCTCGTCATTCTCCTTCGAGGGGTTTCTCCTCTCCCCCAGGCCCTCCCTGGGGTTCCATGGTGCACCTGTGTGCTGGGTTCCCATCGCCTGGCCCGTTATTCCTGCCAGCCAGGAGGGAGAAGGAGGGAGAAATCTTTGGCCCAAACTCAAAGGGTGATATGTAAATTCTGCATCTGCGAGGGGGTGTCAGGGGATCTTAGCCAGTGTAATATACACCCCACAGTCACATGAGAAGGGCCTGCACCTTCTTCTGCGTCCTGTCAGCTCCACCCCTTTCTGTCAGCTTTTGGGTGTGTGAGTTATGGGAGTTCCTCCCGTAAACCCAGGCACTGATGGGGAACTTCCACCAGCTTGTGCAGAGACCCAGAGAAGGACGGATGGATGGAGGTCTTGTGCAGCAGCCACAGCAATGGCATGTCATACCACAGAGTGACCAGCAGTGGGCGCTGCAGAAGGGATGTAGCTGGCCTGATTTCCCACACGGTCAGACCGGGATCTAGTGCGGTGCCGGTAACTGTCCCCTCCATGCCACGATCCGCACTGGCCACCGTGGCAGGTTCAGTCCCGTGCCCAGCGTGAGGCTCCGCTGCCTGTCTCCCAGCGGCACCGGCATGGCACAGCCCTGTCTCCGTGCCGCCGACCCGCCTCGCTTGTATCTTGGCAGGAGCTGAGAGAGCAGCAGGAGCAGCTGGTGCAGCAGCAGGTCCACATTGAGATGGACATGTCAAAACCGGACCTGACGGCGGCGCTGCGGGAGATCCGCATTCAGTACGAGTCCATGGCCTCCAACAACATGCACGAGACCGAGGAGTGGTACAAGTCCAAGGTAACGGGGCCTGAAACAGTGAAGCACACCGTGGGTTGCACGTGCCGTGCCTGTCTCTTCCCCCAGCCACTGCTGGTCTGACTGGCACTGATTGTGGCTGTCCCCTGCGTGATGCCCCATGTGCCATATGCCACCCAGGAGAGTTACCAGACAGGTTGGAAGGGCTGGTTCATGAGACATTCCCCTGCAGCGAGTCCCCTGGCTTCATGAACCCAGGTGTCCCGGCTACCAAGCCCCTGCTCCAGCCACTGGAATACTTGGTTCAATCAGCTGGTATCACCATTGTCATCGTACCCTGTTCTCTCCCAGTTTCCTGTGCCCGTGGGCACCAAGACCCCGCTGAGCTCTCCCCGGGGAGGACGTCCCTAGCTCTCCGAGCCAGGCGCACTAACTCCTCTTCCTCAGTTTGCAGACCTGACAGACGCGGCAGCTCGGAACATTGAAGCCCTGCGCCTGGCCAAACAAGAAGCCAATGAGTACCGGCGCCAGCTCCAGGCACTCACCTGCGACCTGGAGTCCCTGCGGGGAATGGTAGGTGTGGGTGCTGGGGGCAGGGGCAGGCAGCAGTGAGATAGTGCCTGGGCCCTTGGGTGCCCTCCGTTAGCACAGGCCTCCCAATGAACATCACCCCCGTCACTGAGCCCTGCTTTGGGCTCCAAATTCCCTTTGTCTCCAATTAACCTCGTCAAATAAACCTCGGCTCAGAATCAAACATGCCAAGCTTGGAAATAAGGACTCGACAGACATCAAACAATGCTGGGCTCCCTTGTGCTCCTGTAATGTGCGAAGAGGAAGGTGGCCAAACAAAATGGGCCAGGAGTCTGCTCCCGTAGGGCAGAGGCAGGACACTGGGCTGGGGATGGGGTCTGCTCCCATAGGGCAGAGGCAGGACGCTGGGCTGGGGATGGGGTCTGCTCCCGTAGGGCAGAGGCAGGACACTGGGCTGGGGGTGGGGGCTGGTCCCGTAGGGCAGAGGGAGGAGAGCGG